TGAGCAATTGGCTAACGGGCAGGGCCCAAAGGGTTATGGTGAATGGGGCTGCGTCAGGCTGGCGGGCGGTCACCAGTGGGGTCCCTCAAGGCTCCATTTTAGGGCCGGTACTTTTCAATATTTTTATAAACGATCTGGATGTAGGAATAGAAGGCATTTTGAGCAAGTTTGCTGATGACACCAAACTTGGAGGAGTTGTGGACTCAAATGAGGGTGGAAAGGCCTTGCAGAGGGATCTGGATAGGTTGGAGAGCTGGGCGATCGCCAACCGCATGAAGTTCAATAAGAGCAAGTGCCGGGTCCTGCACCTGGGACGGGGAAACCCTGGCTGCACGTACAGACTGGGCGATGAGACGCTGGAGAGCAGCCTAGAAGAGAGGGATCTGGGGGTCGTGGTAGACAGCAAGTTGAATATGAGCCGGCAGTGTGCCCTGGCAGCCAGGAGGGCCAACCGTGTCCTGGGGTGCATCAAGCACGGCATCGCTAGTAGGTCGAGGGAGGTGATTGTCCCGCTCTACTCTGCGCTGGTGCGGCCTCACCTCGAGTACTGTGTGCAGTTCTGGGCACCACAGTATAAAAAGGACATGAAACTGTTGGAGAGTGTCCAGAGGAGGGCTACGAAGATGGTGAAAGGCCTGGAGGGGAAGACGTACGAGGAACGGCTGAGGGCACTGGGCCTGTTCAGCCTGGAGAAGAGGAGGCTGAGGGGAGACCTCATCGCAGTCTACAACTTCCTCGTAAGGGGGTGTCGAGAGGCAGGAGACCTTTTCTCCATTAACACCAGCGACAGGACCCGCGGGAATGGGGTTAAGCTGAGGCAGGGGAAGTTTAGGCTGGACATCAGGAAGGGGTTCTTCACAGAGAGAGTGGTTGCACACTGGAACAGGCTCCCCAGGGAAGTGGTCACTGCACCGAGCCTGACTGAATTTAAGAAGAGATTGGACTGTGCACTTAGTCACATGGTCTGAACTTGGGTAGACCTGTGCGGTGTCAAGAGTTGGACTTGATGATCCTTAAGGGTCCCTTCCAACTCAGGATATTCTATGATTCTATGATTCTATCCTTCTGCACGCTGGAGCAGTTCGTCTGGCCTCCGATGCGACTGGCACTGGAGGACAGATCATGCTTGCCATAACACTTTCAGACTCCTGCCCTACAAAGAAAGGCTGTGAGCGTCTTTCCATTAAATGCCACCACGAATGGAGAAACTGCGGCAGAAAGGCTGTCGCAGAGCCTTGGCGTCACGAGCAGGGGAAGCTATCAGGTCCTCCAGGTTCCCAGCCCTGTGCTTTTACCTTCAGCCACGCCTTTTGGGCTGGTTTATTTCTGACGGTGAATAAAGCTCATAAAATTACTTTAATTACGTTCTTTGTGTCTGATTAACAGCATGAATTAACAAGCAGAAGCACTGAAGCATGTAAACCCCACCTTGGCTGGAAGGAGATACACAAATAATTCGCAGCTAAGGAGACCAAATTACAGCACAAGGGTTTGAGAAAGGAGGGGGAAAGCATGCAAAACGGCTGTGAGCAGGGAGAAAACTCTGCCAGAGTGTTCTCACCTAGCAGATTTAAATAGTTGTTTCAGAGAGAGGAGGCAGCAGACAGCCAACCCCTCCACTCCAAGACACTGACTCTGAGAAGTAAACACATTTTTTTCCCTCCTTAAGCAATTTGGAAGCGCAGTGCTCAAACTCCCATGCCAAGGTGTGAAGCGCAGAAATAGTTTCTGTCAAGTCCTGTACGGAGGTTGAAGGTTGAGGAGCAGAAGAGCAAGGGTTGCATAAGCCCCGCACAGGCTCATCACCATCACCCAAGCCTCCCAAACCTCCAGGCAGCGCTCGCCCAAGAGGAGCCACCTGCCCTGCCTGCCTCAGTGACCGAGATGGTCCCAACAGCTGCCCAAACCCCCTGCCCAGCCTGAGCCCCCTGCTCGGACATGATAACCTTAAAGCAAGCAAGATGGAGAGAACAGGCATTGCAGACAGGTAGAGGAGGCCAGAAGGCACAGCAGCTTTTCTCTAAAATAATATTAAATTAATCAAAGCAGATCCAGCTGGGGTTCAGATGGATGACATGTGGTCTCACATGACAATGCAGAAATCATTACATGAGTACCTCTCCAGCTAAAACAAACTCAGACGCCTCAAACAGATGTTACAGAGCCCCTTGGTCTTCCTCTCATCAGACTACAAGAAGCTCTCTCTAAGTCTCTGCCCTCTGCGGACCAGCAGAGATCAGGCAAGAAGCTTCCCAGGAAATGCAGCTTTGCCCTTAGTTTAGTGGCAAAAGGGAAGGGCAAACGTTTACGTGCATCCCTGCAGAAGAAAAGCACTTGTACAAACACCTGCAATGAGGAACTTGACCATGCTAGGGCTGGACATGAGCTACCCCAGGCTCCGGAGGGGTGAATGAATCTGGAATAGCCTTGAGACATAACACCTAGCCTAGCAAGCATGTGAGCTTTTCCTTTCTCCCATCCAGTACACCACAAGTTACCCTGGCAGACATCCAGCAGTGTCCATCATCCTGCCGCTGTCCTTGCGGTCAGTCATGACTTCCTTTTTTCTCCTTATCCAAAACCTCTCTCACAAGGGCATCTTTACAACAGGGGCATTTTTTTCACCTTAAAAAACACTAATCCATGGTGCTTTGGTGATAGTAGTCCTACCAACAGCTTACAACCTCCCAGCCTGTAAGGGGCCCAAGTGGCAGAGGAGAAGCTGCCTGGATCCCCGAGATGCCAGCAAATAATTATTGTTATTGCTAGTTTTGCATAACCCCTCGGGTGACCCCACATTCAGCAAGTAGCCAGCAAGAAATAAGGCCAATGCAACATGAGAATTTGGATTCAGACAGCTTCGCTGAGCAGAGGCAGAGTTCAGACACTTGAAATAACAAGAATTTTCTATTAAATAAGTCACTGAGTAAGTAAACTCAGTGAGAAACTGGATTAAAGATCACAAGGTCTTTGATCCTAGATTACTAAGCATCTCTAACCTGAATGCATTTAATTAAAGTAAAATGAAGTGCTTGTAGTTGTGTTTTCTTTGCTAGATAAACAGGACTTGCCTGCTGAGAGCCTGTCACCAGCAAGACCTTGCTCCGCCAGCTTCCTTTCCTGGAAGGAGGCTCAGGAAACAAACGCACCTTCCTTCGCAGGCTGTCGGAAGCGGCTGGCCCTGACTGTGCTTTGGCTGCTTTCTGGTGTTCAGCCTGTTCTGAAGATATTTGTGTCCTCTCGGTCATGGGAAATAAAATAAGCAATTTGCAGCACATGCAATGGAACTCCTTCCTGCTCCGGGGTTGCATCACCTGGAGTAGGCGCAGCCCGTCTGACACTGGGGTATCCACGGCTCGCAGCGAGGAGGCGGCATCAGTCACTATATTCAGGAATCTCTGAGTCAGTGACATGCAAACCTACACCCATCGCACGTTGCCTAACTTCTGTTTACTCTGTATGAAAAACTAAGGTGGGGTTTAGCACAGCCAGTGGACTCCTTTTGGCAGCAACAATGGCATGAAACTATGCGGCAAATATTCAAGAGACAGGGCCTAGGATGGGACTTCAGCGGGTACGATGGAGGAGCTGAGGATGCCCTAAAACCTGCCCCTGGGCCCGCCGGGCTGTGGGCACGCCACTCCTCACCATGAGCACACACCTCAGCACACGCTGCGCTGAGCGTGGTCACTCAGCCCATGTGTGTCACACTACCCCATATAAACGAAATTAATGGCATAAACGCCAAGAGGATGTTAAGGAGTGATTCAATGGCCCTTATTTACACTTGATTTCAAAGACTCCTGGCTTTTACTTTGCAAGCTGATCCCCACAGCAGCTCCCTACACCTGAAAGGAATGCCTTTGTACTGCAATTGCAGACACGGAAATCAATCTTGTAATAAGCAGACACAGCGACTTTTTCTTTCCTTTTTTTTTTTTTTTTTTTTTTTTCCTCTAATCCAAACCACATCAGAGGGAAGCTGGAGTTCTTCTCAGGTTTACGACAGTTAGAAACCAGCAGGTTTTTTTCTGTGTGCAAGAGTTGCGTGGAACTCCCCATCGTGTTCTCACTGAACCTCAGCTCCTCCAGCCGCCCTTTGGGTTGTCCCCACCCCTCAATGGCAGCGGGATGCGGCTTCGCCCCACACTCGCTCCCACTTTGGAGCCTTGGCAGCTCCTGCTGGAACCTCACAGCCACCCAGCTTGGTCCACAGACGGCTCTCCCTTATCTACCTGGCTGCTCACTCGGCTCCCTCCTACACGAGCCTGCAGGGCACGGCATTGCGCTCAAACCCACGGAGAGCGCAAATAAACCCCGGCAGCACGCCGGCCTCCGCTCGCCTCGCCTGGGGAGCCCTCCGAGGGGCAGCTCGGGAGCCAACAACGAGCTACGGAAGGCGGGGGCCGCTCCGCACCTTTCCGTACCCCCTGCACCCCGCTCCGCACCTTTCCGTACCCCCTGCACCCCGCTGCGCACCCCCCGGCCCGCTCCGCACCTCCCCGCTCCGCACCGTCGGGGCGCGGGGGCGGCCCCCAGCGGCCGTGCCGGAGCCTCCCGCAGCCTCCCCGACGGACGAAGCTCGAAGGGCCGGGGCCGCCGCCGTCCCCCCGTGCCCCCCGCATCTTCCCCCTTCCCCTGCTCGCCCCTCCACGGGCACTGACCGGTGCCGCCCGCGCTGTCGGAGGTGACCTCCTGGGTGAAGATCCAGGGCGGGTTGGTGGCGAAGAGCGAGGTGGTGGTGGCGGCGGCGGCGCCGTGCTTCTTGCCGAAGAGGCGGCTGAAGGTGCCCTGCACGGAGTGGTGCTTCTTCATGGCGAAGGGACGGCCACCGAGCGGCTCCGGGGCCGCGCCGCTGCGAGGGAGGCAGCGGGGCGGCAGGAGCGGAGCGGAGCGGGCCGGGCCCACCTGGCCCCACCTCCGGCCCCTCCTTCTGCCCAGGTGCCTCCGCAGCACCGGGCGCACCCCGGCCGGAGGCTCCGTGGCCTCCCCCGGGCGGCCTCCCCCGAGCAGCCCGGGCCCGGCCGGAGCTTCCCTCTCGGGAACGCCGAGGGGTCCGGAGGTTTCCTGGGAGCGTCGCCGAGAGGTGACCTCCATCTCCCCGGGGGGAGGCTGCACAAAGTCTGATGCCTCAACAAGGCGTGATGAAAGTCTGATGGCAAAAAAATCGGGACTTTGCAAGTTGGTGGAGCACTGAGCCTTTATGTGTGGTGGTTTCCCAGCTTTCTCCCACTGCCTCGTGGATTTGGTCATCCACCCGCTGCGGCAGTCGTGCCCCGAGGGCTGGGCTCCCCAGCCCCAAACCTTTCCACCTGCCCCTTTGTGTGGCATTGGGACCACAAATCCCTGTCTGGGCCCTGCAGGCGGTACAAGGAGATGATGGCCAGGGTGGGGGCAGTAGCAGTGCGATCCCTTCGCTCTGCTGCATGCTGGAAAGCGAACGGCACCGAGCTGTTCAGGAGGTGCCCTGCCAGGCAGTAAAGCCCCCGGCCTCCACACTACGAGCCTCCTTTCCTGGTACCCAAGCCTAAAGACAGGGGACTTGACCCCAGTTCGTTTTTTTTTGTGTCAGGTACACAAGGAAGTGTCACCAATTTCCTGTCACACAAATAAAAGCCGAGAGTTAATGAGTAACCTCGGTTAATAACAAATGCTGGGATTTTCGGGAACTTTAAACCCCCAACAGCCATCAAAACGTTAACTCTGAAGCACGGCTTTAGGGTAAGGTCCTCCTGCCTTACGTTTATTTCTACTTCCACTGCATTTTGAGGGTCCAAATGCTGTAGTTTCTTTTTCAGTGAGAAGCATTTCTCATTTAATCACGTTTTGAAATCACGCTTCTCACAATCTTTTCTAGCCACGAGGCGCCCGGGAACGCCAACAGGCGCGCACTGCTGTGAAAGGGAACCAACCCCAACTGCGCCATGGACAGGCAGCACCCGAGTGAAGTAAATTAACGTGATGGGCAAACAGGGAAGGGAAAGGGAGCTGGAACCTCGTGGGCCCTGTGGCTGCAGCTCGGGGTGATGCCTCCCCAAAGGTCTTGCTGGGACCCAGCCAGACCGGCGGTGCTGGGAGCTGGGGGCAGCCCGCGCCCTCCCTGCTGGTGCTGCCGCCAGGACGGCTCCGGGCTGGGACTCGCCTGTAATTAGTGGGGCTCGCGCCCTCGCTGACAGTTAGCCTAACTGCTGCTTAGGCTGGGGCAGGGAACGGAAACAACCTGCAAACATCCATGTGAGTGCAGCTCCTGCATGCCCTGAGCACCGCAGCGAGGCTGGGGGCCCTGCAGTTGTGTTTTAGCCTGGATCCCAGCAAAAAGCACAGCCCTGCCCGCAGGTACAGGCGGTAGAGGGATGGAGACTGCAAAACTTTCCTCCTGGGAGCGCGGTGCTGGAGAGAGCCCGGCCAGCTCTCCGCAGGAGCCCCGTCACATGAGCCCCAGATATTTAAAGCAGATTCCCTGGCACCTCTTGAAAGCAGAAACCAGATGGGATGAAGGAGCCACGCAGTACCGGAAAGAGCAGTTTTATTCCACCTGCTGATGGGCAAAAAGGAAGGCTTGTATGTTACGAGCAAAGGACACAATATCTCTGCAAGACACGCCGGGCACACGTGCTGGCTGATATTTACAATGCTTGACTGAGCAAACTGCGCAGGGTATACAGAGAGACAAAGAAAGTCAAGGAAAAGGGGAAGGGGAAGAGGAACTGTTCTGAGAAGAGAAGCCAATAAAGTTGTGTGGAATGAGAAAGCCTGGGCCTCTGCACAAAGCTGTTCCACAAAACGTCGCTGCACTGCAGAGACCTCAAAGGGGCTGTGCAGCAGTGGGAAAGGATGGTTCAGCTCCCTACCAGGGCATCCCAGAGATGGGGGCCACGTGAATATTAAAGTGGGAGAGCAAAATGTGCAAGTGCTGGGGAAGTCAAATCGCAAAATTTGAGCTGAGAAAGTGCCCGGCACTGGTCTCTGGTACTTCTTCACTGCTGTGGAGCAGAGCAGAGGAGGGGGCTCCAGAGCAGCACCTGTGAGCTCAGGGCAGTGACCCTACATGTGCCTCACCTGGGTGGGGACCATCACAAAACATGTTCCTTGCAACACGAAGGGATGTGCGCTTTGAGGTGCATTTATTATCCCAGTGAACACAAGCAGCTGAACAAGTCTGCGAGCGCTCATGCACACTCCCTTGTACTTGTTCCAGGTGGAAAATTTTGCTCTTTACCCTCGGCCTGCCGTTAATAAACACAGACTGCCCCCTTTGTGTGCTTCGCCCTCCTGCAGGACGCCTCAGCGTTCACTCCACGCTCCCTGCACACAGCTGCACTCCTGCTCAGCCACTTCCACGGCGTTTGCCCTTTCCAGCTGATTTTGTGGCACAGAAACAGCCTTGTGAGCGCTGCTGTGACGTAACACCCCGCAGCGTGGGGCTGTCTTTGATCCTCACACGGGCAAACAGCCCGGAACAATCTGCCTTGGCATCAGCGCGCGGAGCTGCGCCCTGCAGATGCAGATCTCCCCGTGCCGCCTTCGCAGGGGCGCGAGGTGCTGGTGCAGCCAGGCTCCCCCGCTGGGCCCCGAAGGAGAGAGGGAGGAGGTGGGAGGAGAAGCACACACAGAGAAACAGCTCGTGTCTCTAGGGAGAGCAGGTCCGTGCCACCAGGGCCACGTTTCGGTGGCAGCAGAGCACGTTTAAGGGCCAGCAGAGCAGCCTGTGGCTGGATGGGAGCAGCTGCAGCAGGCACCATCCCAAATCCCATGGCTGAGCCCCCGCGATCCTCCGCTCCTCCGCACCCTGCTCAGCCTGGGCACCCCCCGCCCAGGAGCCACCACCCCGGTGACACCACAGTGGTCACAATGGCCCCGGTGGCCCCGGAGGCCCTCGTGGCCGGCACAGTCCTCAGCAGCTCCGCCACCTCCAGCCTCTGTCCCAGATGTCCCCGCACACCGGGGTCCCCCCCGGGAAGACGTCCTCACAGGTGGCAGCCCCAGCTCGTGGTTTGCAGGAGGGATGCACGGTGTCCCCTTCCTGCGGGACACGGGGGTGGGAAGCCCTCGTCCTGAGGGTGGCTGGGGCAAAAGGGGTGCTGAGGGGGGATGGCTGGGCTGGTGGCCCCATTGTGGCAATGCCCAGGGGCTGGGGTGACAGGAGACTGCCCTGGTGGGGTGGGATTTGTCCCTGCGTGCCGAGGAGGGAGCGGTGCCAGTGGGAGCATGGCCTGGGCAGCAGGCACGGCGTCACCCCAGAGCACAGCCCTGGGAGGGTTTTGCTGGCAGGAGCCCTCCCCGCTACCCTGGCGACTGAAGTCAGCCTGGCCCCTGTGACCCCACCTGTGCGGATCTTCTCTGGGAGACGGCGGGCAATTTGGGAGGGATTAGAGACCTAAAGGCATGGCTGAATGCAATAGGATTACACGGGACTCTTAATCCCAGCTCCCAGTGCCATAAATAGGGATGTGGACGTCAAGCTGGTGTTTCCCCTCAACAAGGACCACGTAAGCAGGTGCCCTCACGCAGGGATCCTGCCAACTTCAGTGCCCCACGGGGTGAGTGGGAAGCCCCGGGCAGGAGAACCCCGGGGCAAGAGCAAAGCCCAAAGCTCGTCCCACCCAGCACTTCGCTCCTCCTGCCACTGCCCCACAGAGCACGGGCAAGGCTCACACGTCCGAAGGCATCTACGTGACTTAGCAGTTAGGTTTGCAAAGCAAGCAGGGCCTCACCTACACACCCCAGATGCACCTTAATAACGTGAATGCCTCCCTGCTGGGCGGATGCAGTTGCAGCAGCACGGTCGTGTGCGTACTTGCCTCTTATCTGTCAAAGCGGGCGAAGCAATAGCCTGTAATCATGCGTGTGCGCAGGTAGAATCAGCTCTGAAGCAAACCAACGTGTGCTGAGAGCAGGGATTCACAAACCATGCTGACACGGAGGTAGTGGTGCGAGGTCTGCCCTCGGGACTCGGCCCCCAGCGTTTTGCCCTCCGTGGGCAGTGCTGGGAGCCCCGGCCTTTCCTTGCAGCAGTGACTGCAGGTGGCTGCCTCTGGGAAATGAGAGACAAAAAGAGGCGATCAACCTGGGGGATCTCATCATTTCCCTCCGAGGTTGTTAAGGAGATTTCTATAAATGATTCACTGGTGTCCCCCTCGTAACAGGTTTAGCAGCTGCTGTTCAGAGCCAGCTACCCAGAACCAAAATAGAGCACCAAGTAAGCCATGGCATCACGGAAAATAGGAAACCTCTTTACACGGTTAAAAATAAAGCCAGTCAGCAAAGGGTTTATTTAGGACACCCAGGAGTAAATAGGATAATTGCTGGGGGAAGAGCCAGTTTCCATTGGCACAGAGGTGTCATCAATGGAAACAAGATAACTGAGTCACGGTTAAATAACCAGAGCAAAAATACTCCTGCAGCCGAGCACAGCCTGGGAGTAGCCAAGGGGCACAAGGCAGGGCCGCATGTTTTTGGGCACATGACCACACCACGTCCTCTAGCAAAGGGTTCTTGCAAGCACAAAACCAAACCAGGCTGTTTCTGCAGCCCTTGCCCCCCCCACACTGTGCACACCCATGTTGATGCTCATCTTGCTCCGGGGCTTCAGAAATGTGGCCCAGCTGACTGCACGGACAAGCTTGCCTCACTAGCTTCAAAAATCATATTTTTCCCTTCATTTTTGTGGCGAAAAACGACACTTAGAGATATGCCCAGAGCAGTCAGCACAGAAGCAGGAGGCAGGGAGGCATTAAGGGGCTGCCCCACAAAGGATGGCACTGCCAGATGCCATCACTCGCACGCCCTGGTGCACCTCCTGCTGCAGGCTGGTGAAACCATTTCATGGCTGGTTTGCCACGGCTGCTGTTTGGGGAACACTGTACGTGGCTATGGAAGAAGCATGTATTACCATTATTTATAAATGACACCCCGATCTGGTCCCGATCTGGGACCAGAGCTCTGCTGTGCCAAACATTGAAGGAAAAAGCAGCATCCCCCCAAAGCGCTGGGAGGATGAGCCCAAGCCACTCAGCAGGCTTTGGTTTATTTTCAGTAAGACTTTTGGCCACTGGCACACAGCTCTCGTGTTGGGGTGCTGAGCACTGCAGGAGGAAGGCAGTGCAGGGGCAGGCAGTGTGTTTGTCTGACATTTCTTCTCCACAGATGACTGAAAAACAAGCAGCCCCTGGCAAAGACCACAAGAGACCAGAGGAGATGGAGACGACCAAAGCAGCGCAGGATGCCCGTGGTACCCCTCCCACCCCAAAGAGGCAGCTGTCCCCAGCAGGTCACCACAAGGACCAGCCGCTGGCCTCTCGCTTTGTTCCCTTTGTTGCCCATTTTGGGGGCCGTGAGCCTGACTCCTTCAAGTTTCTCTTCTACACACCAAACTGCTCCAACTCGTACAGCCCCTTCTACACCGCGCAGCGGCCGACCTGCGGGTACCACTTTTGCCACGACACCGATCACACCAAGAAGGTGACAGACGTCTCGAGCGCCAACATCATGAAATGGAGACCTGTCCTCAACACAAAGCCATAGTCCAAAGCAATAAAGCCACGCAATGAAAGCAGCAATCGGTGTGGCTCCAGCTTCCCACCTGAGCCCGCCCTGCAGTGACCACTGAGTCAGGGGCCAGGCGGCGAGGTCACGGCTTTGCTCCCCACACAGCACAGATTTTGTCCTAACACCCGGTCCAACTTGTCTTGTCATTTATTGCCAACTATTTAAACAGAGGCACGGGGTGTCAACAGTGCATGGCTCTGCAGGAGTCACCACCCAGCCAGGCTCATCTGCTTCCATCCTGGCCTTAGCACAGGCTGCGAAACCTGGGGAGGTTTCACCACTTCTCTGGTCGAGCCTCAATTCTGCTCCTCCTCTGACAGGATGCCTTCGTTGTGAGGCTTCCCGGGCACAGGCACAGCATTGCTCTTAGTGATGGGGAAGGCACACTTCATTTGTGCTGCTCAGACAGGAGATGCCCCAGGAGCAGAAATCCAGCCGGGCACCGCTGCAGCTCTCTGCAGGAGGCAGCGTGAGGCGTCCCCGCTTCCACATGAAATAACTGGGTGCACTGGGAACACTTGGCGAGCTCGTATCCACCCTTAACACGCCCCCTTTCTGCTATTAACGAGCACCCAAACATTAGGAGCTCCCCGTGTTTCCGGATGGGCCCGGGGCGCTGCCGGGGCCTCCCACTGCTCGCAGCCTCTGTGTGCAGCGGGGAGCTGAGCCGGCCGCCGCCGTCGACTGCAGGATTAGTACATCCAATTAGCTCTCCTCATCTAATTCCTTTTTCATAACTCTTTTATGCTTATGTAATGCCACCTACTTTAGCAGAGTTATTCCTAATTTACTTCGGAGCAGAAGCGATACCACGCTCTGCAATACATGCAAGTTGGGCTTTTGTCTGAAGCATGTTAGGTCTAAAATAAAAGTGCTACAGGATGGGCTCTCTGCAGGTAGAAATCCATTAGTTACACTGATTTCTGTACTCATGGAGGGTCTGGCCCCTGTTACTTTGTTAGGATACGCTTTTTTGTCTCCCAGTCCTCCCCTGACTGATGTGCTTTAGTGAAGTGACACTTCTCCCCTCCCTGAATTTCACATTGATTTCTCACCTGGAAATCCTCCAGCAGAGTAGGACTAAGGGGGACCAAGAAGACAGTAACAGCACAGGGACCTCTGAGTTTCTTCTTACATTGATTTTGGTGCAAAAGTTGTTGCTCGCGTGAGCTCACACAAAATTGTAAATGAAGTAGATTAGGA